AAATTTTATCCTCAAATAGGCACAATGGCGGAGCCGGAGGGTGGCCATTGGTGGCCTCGACCACCACCGATTAATCCTGGACCACAGGGACGATTCTAGACTCTGACCTTTAGAGGTGCTAAGCCCCCAGTGCTGACAATGACTTTTGGTTTGAACAACATGGTGGCCACTGGCGTCTGAAGCATTTATAATGTGGGGGGGCACACTGGTGGGGGGGTCTGGGGGTCCTCCTCCAGAAATGTTTGAATAAAGTAGACGCTATTTCCTGCGTTCTTGTGTATTTTAACGGGTTGTTAAACATATGTAAACACTCGATTCAGTAGCTATTTTAGAGAACTCGGCACAACAAGAAGTAGCGGCGTGAATACAGACGTGCTAGCTAAGATGCTACAGATGTAGCGCTCTGCTTCACATTACACAACCTAATGAACGCTTTGTACAAAATCAGTTTAGTGTTCATAACAAAGTAACCAGAAGTTGCAACATGCTGTATATCTGAACACACAAAGCACAACTAGCTTTAAGCATGAACCTTTAGTTGAAACATTAAGCACTGTATGTAGTTATCACGAAAATGGTGGACATGTGGTACTTCCTGTTTATAACTTTGTATTCAGCTGCTCATGAGGTCGGCCGCAGGGCTCCATCATCTTTTACATTTTTCCAGACTCAGCTTAGGTTTTGGAAAGGGAATAAGCTGTTTTCCACCTCTAAAGCAGGGACATTCAACTAAACTGCTCAGGGGGCCACAGTTACCGAGAGCCACCAGCTCAGGGGCCGGACATCCAGCAATTTTTCATTCATTCATTCAAACTTTATTTAAACAGATTAATCACACTGAGCCCCGGGGACTCGCTTACGAGAGCGACCTGTTTAGACAGAAAAAGTAATTAATTAATTAAAATCATGGATATATGGATAAAATCATTCTGTCAATAAACCAAGTATTACAATGATATTACCTTACATATATACATATATTTTTTTTGTTGCATTGAATACTAAATGTAATAAACAGAACACAAAACTCAACCCCAAACAGCTTAAAAAAGGGAACAAAAAATAACTTTATTTTTCAGGGGAGTGAGTTAAAATTTAGGGGTGTTTGAGCACCCCCAATAAGGGGCTAAAATCACCACCCACCCCCTATCATATATACATATACATATATATATATATACATATACATATAT